ATTAGCAAGACTTGCCAATAAGTTGCAAACGATACAGCACGTACGACCGGACTGAGCTAATCGGACTTTACATAGTTGAAAGAGAAAAAGAAAGATATGTGTCTCTCGTTCCAACAATGAACAAACAGTTATTGCAAAATCATTTGAGAGCAAAGTATTCACTCTCAGAGTCAAAAATCAAAGTGCAAATATTTTTTATGCCACATAGAAATTTGCACAAAGAAATATAGTATGTATTTTTAGAGATATGGAAGAGGAAAGGGGAATCATAGTTTGATGTACATACATAGATACATGTATAGCTTATAACCGTTAGAGTTATAGGTGATCAATGGCATGCAAGTTGAATAGCACATACGATCTTTAAATGGCGAACAGATATTGCAACAGCGATGAATGTTATAATAGCTTTATCCTTATGTAATTTAATAATCATATAAAGAGTATAGACATCTAATCGCGATGTGCAATGTCACGAAATTTGGCTCAGTTTAATCGAAAGAGAGTAGGTCGTTCTTTTTAGGTCAGATAACATCCGATTAAAACCTATCATGGTGACCGACTTAGAACTCTGATTAGTGTCATAAGAACAGTGCTGTAGAACGACATTTATTAAAAGTTTGTCGGCTCATATATCATCGACGACTTTTTCTGTACTATTTGAAAAGTATTTTGTAAATTATTATTTGAAAAATAAATGTTTTACACACTTCAATAAGATTGATAAAATAATCAACTATCCTTGAAACATTCGTAAAAATTCTGAAAGGATCGCACTATAATTCTCTTGTTATCGTTTCAGAGAATGAAGCCGACTCATCGTATGTTTGCTCAACTATGTACGCCACTTTATGTGTTACTTACGTATGTATTCACTCACCACACTGACCATTAACCAGTAAGTCGCGACAAGGAAAGGAAGGAAGCCATTTTTCGTGCTCAAGGACTCTCTCACTGCTAAATAGAAGTTTTTCCTGTTACAAGTAAATTACCTCTCTCGCAAAAGCATATTATGATACATAAAGCATACAGATAGAAGAAGAGAATATGCGATCGTTAGAAAGTAATGTTACGTTACATTAAATTTTTAATGCATCATAAAGAGTAATTATTCAAGTTACGCGGATATCATAGAAATAACCGGTGGTTGTATTTTAACAGCTTGTCATAATATTTGCGCAAATTAATCGATTAATCTTGTTTCCCCAGCTTTTAAATGGACTCTAAGGTCAACCCACAAGTTGATACAATACATGCTTATTACGTCAGTTTATTTCAATCAATTTCCACAGCGATTAAATTCACCAGTAAGGATAGGTAAATAGTATAGTAATGACGAAAGAAGAAACCGACTAGTTAAATGGTGAACGTATTTCATTCATTTCGCTTCGAAATTCTGCGAAAATACGAAACTTATAAACTCAGATAATTTTAATCTTCGCGAATAAATTTCGATGACAAATTCTGAGAAGCGAAGAGGCGAGTTCGGCCTGACACTCCGATAGACGGACAATGCTCCATGTTCGTAGGACCGATGCTCGGATTCGCGAGAAATTTCGAGGATTCGAGAGTGAGAGACAACGGTTTTACGGCTGCTTGGCAACGAGGCCAGGCACCTAGCCAGACAAGCCAGCCAGCGGCAACCGGAGGCGCCTATCACGGGTCCGACGATCCGTTGAGGTCAGAGCTCCTCTCACAAAGAAGGGCCCCTCCCTTGGCGCCCTCGAACGTTTATATAGGGTGTTCTACTCCTGCTGATACCTCTCGGGCGTCATATGATTCGCGTAAGAGAACTGTTTATCACATCGGCTGCGTTCAGTAAAAAAAAAAAACAGCTTTGCAACTCTTTTGTTGTAAAATTCTTTAACATGATTGGTTTTGCCTTTAGTTCCTTACTGGATGTATGAACGAATTACAGTGGGTTGCCAAAATATTAGGGACAGCGCAATTTTTCTGTTATTTTTATGTCAATATTGCCAGGCTTTACATAGAACTTACAAATAAGATAGAATAACCAGAACAGGCATTAAAAATAAAAATACTTCACGGAATTTCATTAAGAGGCATTTGCAAAATCAAAATTAATAGAAGAATCGCACTGTCCCTAATATTTTGGCAACTGTATATTAAAGAATTTGACAACCGCTGCAAAGCTGCTTTCTCTGCTGAACGCAGTCATTGTTAAAATTTATCTCGAGACCTTTATTATCTTATTTGCAACAGAACAGAAATGCATCAAAAGAAGAAATAGAAAGGAAAACATGACAATCGAGATAAAAGAGGCAAATCATAATACGGACTATTTTCTTTGGTTTCTTTTGGTTGGAGATAGATGTATCTACTAATGTAAATTGACTTTAACAAAGCGTTTACTACCTGAAAAATTATTGGAAGAATTTTCAGGGGATTCGAGAGGGGATTCCCGTTTTCACATTTAAGAATCAGAGATATGCATTGTATTGTATTCTAATATTTCATGTTTTTACTTCAAAGGTGCATTAAGAAATTCTTCGAAATTAACAAAAATATTCAGAAAATCCAGGAATTTTGAAGGATATTTTTACAAGATGTCAGTAAACAATTTGTTTAATTTTGGTTTAACATACTTTTTCTAATGCTAAAAATTCGAGAAGAATAAGTTAAACTGAGATTAGTGTACATTGTCAGAAAAGTCACGAATATTATAAACAGAAACTATAAAGATTAGAGCAATTTTAAGAAACAAATGACGATGTTTCGCTTTATCTGTCTCTAATGTTTTCACATAATAATATTAGGTGTAGTAAAAAGAAATCCATTATTTTTGCATGAAATCTATTGGAAAAATAATGGATTTCTTTTTACTACACCTAATATTATATAAAGAAGACAATAGACTAACTAAAGCATTATTATCCGTTAAAATTCATTTATAATAATAAATGTTTAACTATATACATATATCATATCGTTACAATGTCGTATAATTATAGCTTTTTTTCAAAATCAAATTGCAAAATATAAGAAAACTTTAATAAAAATAGTAGAACAGTTCAAAAATAATAATAAAATGCAAAATTCAATATTCGTGATAGTTCGAAGTGGATGAAGTGCTCAAAGAGAGAGAAAAACATGTTGACTGGAACGTCTGTCAGACATAACAATAAATAAACGTCATTTATTTTTACAATACTTTATGCACTCGTATTATGCATCGCCTACACGTTGATACAACGGCAATTGATGTTTTTATCTTTAAAAATAAACGGGCTTTCACGCTGCGCTAAACGACGAATATAATTTTAACTGGAAAGTCCAGAACTCCGTGCGAAGAATAAGATTTTTTTATTATTATAGTTTCGATTATTATATATTACAGTAATTTTATTATTATTTAAGTATAAAAGATGTGCGATATTCCGATGGAATGACTCGTTAAAGTATCTCAGGAGATGATGCCAATGATAAAATGAAAACAAATTGAATTAAAGTTCGATAACGAAAATCTTCTCGACAGCAAGATAAAACACACATTTTTCATACTTGGAAAATTCTTTCGATTGCAGTTCGCAATAAAACTTATCAGCGAAAAAGAGAAGAGTAAAATTATTTCAAAAAAATGTCTCAAGATCAGAAGATATTAATTAAGATTATCAGCTGCCACTTACTGATTAATTTCAATTAATAGCCGTTAACCTCTTGACGTTTTGTCACGAGTAAAATCTAAAATCTTCAATGTTATCCTATTATATTAATGAGAATCAGCACAATATTCATAAATATTAGTCAAATTTATATATAACTTACATTTGTATATAATAATACCGGAGAAATTGCGGAAAGAAAGAGTAAAGTCCGGTTCTATTAATGTTAATATTATAAGATTAACTTTAATCTCAGTTCAATTTACTCTTTATCTTTTTTTAATTCTTAGAAATTCTTAGAATTTGAAAAAGATAAACAGCAATTCAATGGAGTTTAAAATTCATTTTATATTGCTGGAGCAGACCTGAAGGAGTTAAAAGAAAAAAGAGGAAAGAGGACAGGAACCTGTAACAGAACACAAACTTGCAGTAATGTTGCTGCAATTCATTGTAATATTGCTGGGATAATCATCTAGGAATAAGAACAAAGAGGTGTAGAATATGAAAAATATAAAGAAAACAAGAGAGAGGAGAGTTCATTTGTCTTACATATTCGTGTAGCTAGAAAGTTTTTTTCAGAGAAACATTTTCTAATAATTAAATGTGTAAATATGATATCAATACAAATAAGTTTAAAAAATAAAGACTTTGTTAATTAGTATTAAAAAATAAGAAAATATAAAGAAAAGTTTATGTTAAGTTTTTGTTAATTTCCAAGCTTATGTTAATCTCTGAGAGATGTCAATGGGAAAAGTTGATCAAACGTAGTCGAATGTGAGAAGAGCAATCGATTGTAATCGATTTCTCACTGTTTAAAATTAAAAGCTCAAGTTGTACCTTAAAAGCTCATTGAAACAATAGTAAGTTAGAGTGTGAAATATACTATACATTTTATAAATACATACACAGAGAGATAAAATTTATATATATATATATATATATCTTACTCGCTCGTAAGGTTTTGACAAAATTGTTCGCGGTCAGCTTTGTCGCGGAGTCTTACGTCAGTCCAGTTTCGTCAGGCTGTTAATTTCGTCGTCGGGCCGACCTCTGACCGACGTCTTACGACACCAGCGAGAGATTTTTTTCGCACGTCGCGTGGTGTCGGATGGAGAGATCAGTCGAAAGAACCCAAAGTACGTCTGGCGTTCTCTTCGCGGGGAAACGCGAGAGGGACGTCTGCCGCGCGCGCGATCGTAAAGTATATAATTTCGAAATTGCCGTTCTCGCAAAATCACGCCCGCGTAAACGCCCGTGCTTCACGCGCGGCGCGCGCTTCCGCGAAGCGGCGCGAGGACGTGCCGCGCCGGAGTGCAAGACGACCGGTACAGGACTTATATATATATATAAGTGCATAGATCCGAAAAAGCTACTTACCCATGTGAGCGAGGTCGATGATCGGGATTTCGCACTTGCTGAGCAGAGTCTCGCAAGTCTGCGTGACCATGGGCGCGCTGGTGCAGTAACTCATCCTGGACAACTGGACCTCTCCTTGGAAACGGATTGAGATTCCTTTTACACGCCGGATCGTTCCCTCCCAACTCTCGTCTCTTGCTCCTCTCCTCTTTTACTCTGTCTGTCTCTCTCTCTCTCTCTCTCTCTGTCAATGCTCTCGTCGCGGACGGACTGCTCTCAACTTTCTCTCTCTCTCTCTCTCTACCTCTTTTTCCGCGGTACGCTGCTGCGGCGAGAGCGATAGCAAAAAAAAAAAGAAATAATTACGTCGCTCCACACTTTGCGGGCGATCGACTACGGCCCACCCGGTATATAAGGCGCTCACCACACGGATTCACTGGAATATCCAAGAGAAAATCATACTACCGACGTGCGCGCACACAGAGAAACACACACACACACACAGGATCTGCGGACCGCACGCGCGCGAAAAGGATTCAAAGGGGTGCGCGAAAAACGCCGTTATATTCCGCGTGTGATCACATGCGTGCGAAAGCGAAAAGAGAGGAGGCCCCGTGGACGAATATGGCTGTCCCTAACGGTAGCCGTAGGCGACGAGTTTGTTGCGCGGCTCGCGATACGGTAAACGGTTTATTACGTGGCCCCGGCCTAGCGAGCACATGCTACGACGACGGCGTGATGGTGGTTGGAAGTGGCGAGAGTCACAACTCGGTCTCAGCTGTCAAATCTCTCCGGTACCGTCGCGCGCCGCGGCCGTTCGCAAACTGTTCGCCACCGCACGGACGGACTACAGAGTGCTCTCGGAAAGTCGAACGCGCCACGAGAGAACCGTTTTCCGAGCTCGAGCGTCGAGGATTCCGCGCGCTCACGGCGGCGGCCGATCGCGACCGAACGCCTCCGGGCGCTCCCGAACCGACGTCCCGAGGGTCGTCGAAGACCGATGCGCGGAAAATATCTCTGCCATAGGCGGGGATCGTTTTTGCGATCCGGAGTTTATTCGCTTGGAACGAATATCTGGACTTAAAGCCGATCCCGCGACATGTCGAGAGGCCGATATTCTTACATTTGTGACTGTCTTTCTATCTAAGTGTATATACGGACTTAAGGACAGTCGTAAACCAATTAGAGCGACTGTATTGACATCTTAAGACGGATTTAAAATAAGAACGGATTGTTAATACCGAGACAGTGAAATCTGTTTTAATATATTTGATCGAAAGAAAAAGAATTAATAAAATTCAACAAGTTAATAAGGTGTAAAATTATACAAATAATAGCGATGACGTACCATCGCAATTACACGACATAAATTTAAAAGCTGATAAGTTTAATATTAATGTTTCCGTAAGTATAATAATACGCGTAATCACATATTATACACATGCGTCATTCATTTGACGAATATTCTAGCTTTTTTTTTTATTGAAAAATATAAACTTTGCTCAAATTGTGCGATCAGTCAATTGTGCGATGAAACTTTATTAGATTAAACTTTTAAGTGTTTACTTCGTAAATGTAACATTTTTTTTTTTCAATTTCTGTCTTATAGGCAAATGTCTCAAATTAAGAAATAAAATGTCTATAAGAAGGAATTTTTACATTTAGAATAATATTTTTGAAAACGGTACAATAAAAATCGATGCAATTTTTTCTAGATATATTATCGATGTAAACAATTTTACATCTCACATATGTATCATATAGACTTATATTTCATCAATTGTGAGACCTCCTTAATCGACAAAGAAAAAAGAAAATTCTGCGTGAGATCAACACATATAAACCTAATCTGTCAGTATTTGTTTGTTTTTTTTTTAAATATTTGGTACGACAGTGTTGCAAAACAACGACACATTTTGTTTTCATGTCTTAAAAAAAAAAAGATTATTTTTATAATGTTCGTATTGTATATTTCGTATTTAATTTATTTCATTTACGAACACAATGATGATATACGTATGATCTAAATTTTAAATAGACCGAAATAGATATTTCTTTTCTCGAATAATCAAATGTCGAGCTAAGTGTTTTCATCATGAACTATAAACCTCGTTCACAGGAGACTCTTTGGGTTCCTCAAGTTGTTATATATTTTCAGCTTGCGAAAGTGCCTATGAAATGCAATAAGAGGAACATGAGTTCGTTGGGACGTCACTATACACTGTCACCAGTTCTATTACAGTCGTCGGTCTACAGAAGAAGCACAGAAAGGAGCACGCGAGGCATTAACGTGTATCAAATACCACGAACCGCTTTGAAGTCGCTTGCAGATAGTCTTGAACATTTTATTGCGTCTCTAAAATTGGCAATACATTTGAAATAAAAGAGTTAGAATAATCATTGAATACCACAAGAAAGAAGGAAGTCATGTATCACAATTATAATAATGAACTTGTATCGCAAATTTATCATTAAATAAAAAATATCGCGTGACGCATTAACTATATAAAATGTATATAATAAAATTGCATGATAAAAAAAAAAAAAATCAAAACTACATCAAAATAACAAGTACTTAAATGACGTTAACGATGACGTTAGCGACTGCGCTGTTCGTTTTTCAATACACTGAATTTCCGATATGTATCAATTTTCAAACATAATTCAGATAGGAAATTTAATTGCCTCCCGCTACATTATTCATCATCCAGCCAGTGATACAACTTACCTCTAATCGTAGCAATTAGCATTTTGCAATCGTTAATACGCAGTTTGTTCGAAAAACAGCCGCCGTTCTAATCGCGCTCTGAAGATCTATAGCTTATTAGTGCAAAGTGGCTTCAACGCGCACATTTGTTACGAAGACATTCCACGGATATTTTATGCTCTTCGTGAATGCTCGGTTTAATCTTTGCCACGTCCAAAGTACTATTAAGCAAAGCATCATACTGTTACTTTCATTTTTGCTTATTGCTTACTCAAGCGATATTCTTATCAGTCAAAGGTACTAAAGTTTACAATATTTATTTACAACAAAAAGTCATTTTTACTCTATGAGATTCTATAGGATTTTGTAAGGAAACCGGACCCTATATTGCCTACCTAAGTTTTTCCATTTTTTTCTAATTTTTTACTAATAATAAGTCCAAAATTCAAACCTTTGATGGTCAGATTCAAAAGAGGAACCATTCCTATAAACATTATAAGAAATTAAAACATTTCCAAATATTGACATGAGTGTAGTAAAGAGTTTAAGAAAAAGTAGCATGTTATATGCATGACCTAAATACATACATTGATCTCCTTTTTGTAAAAAATGTTTAAAAAATGAAAAATGAAATGATCCAATGATTCATAAGATTTTTAAGACTTTATAAAACTTTTATGAGATTATGAGAGTGTATAAACATATTGGCATATTTATTGACATGCAAGAATACACAAAGAACTATTTTCTTATTCGCTTGTCTTCTTATTTACTTATTTATTTATTTTCATAATAACAATGGTTAACGAGCAAACTCAAATCCATGGTCTGAAACAATAAATGTATCAAGATACAATCTATGCTTATACGTTCAATATGCCTAAATTGATCATTTTGGTTTATTTGAGAAAACTTCCTCTTTTTGATATGATAAACACCACGACTACAATATTGTGCATTTTCCTTTAATGATAATAACAGAATGAACAAACTAAGCAATAAACCGATGCAGTCGAGTTAGACGGACAAACACGACTTATTAGTGCTATCTATTGAATTCATCATAGCTGTTTTCCATTATTTACTCCGAATACTGAAATTACATAGTATACACAACGTGAACTATAGATTTTCAATACGCTCAATGAATAACGGAACGCAGTCCATGTAATGCCTATTTTACAATAGAATTACAAGTCGCAAACCGTATAAGAAATTGACTATAATCGCAATTGATATGACAAAAATAATCGATTATGATTGATTAGATAATACTTTACGGCTTACAACTTACAATCTTATTGTAGGACAAACTTAATTATCCACAAATGCAACGAGTAAGGCACATTGGGCCTTATAGAGTCCAGTTATCTTATTTTTGTACACTACATTTTTATTATCAAATTTTATATTAGATATTCTTAAATACAAATGCATACAAAACAGCGATTAATTAAAAGAAGTCATTTAATTGAAAAAATTCAAAGTTTCTCTCTTTATTTATTTATATACAGGATGTCCCGAGAGTTTCTTGCAATCGCTTTTGTGTAGATAAGCGGACTAAACTGAGTCGAAAAGTCCTTTACCACTTTACAAATTTCGCAATGGTTAACGAGATATTAATTTTTATAGCCGAATATTGGTCTTTAATAAATTTTTTCTCAAATTGAAGAACAATATTTTCGGCTATCTTTAAAAATTAATATTTCGTTAACCATTGCAAAATTTACAAAATAGTAAAGGACTTTTCGACTCAGTCAGTTTAGTTCGCTCTATCTACACAAAAGCGATTGAAAAAAACTCTCGGGACACCCTGTATATATATCTCCTCTCTCTCTCTCTCTCTCTCTCTCTCTCTCGCTCTACTACCATTTACCGATTTCCGTGATTCAAAATAGAATATCTGTATCTGGCCTTAGACGATCTATTTTTCCGGTTCTCCCCGATAAAACTATCTTTAGTCACCGATGGACAATAGTGCATGCTCAGTTTTTTGCGCCGAACAGATTTCTTAAGTGAAAAAGGTCGTGGCACGTAGGTCCTTGACGATGCATTCATAACAGTGAATGGTACAGTGGGACACCTTATCTGAGGAAAGGACGTTCGCAAAGAACGTTCACATCTATAGATCATCTGTGACAATGTAAAAGAGGTATGAATAAACAATAGCGTTCGTTAAATTATTATGGTAATTTGCTATATTTCAAATCATGAACATTTCATGATAGTAGCAAGTTTTTAATAGGATATCATTAAAATATAAAATATAAGTGAACTTTTTTTTATTGAAAAAAATAATGTACTGATATAATATAATAATATTGTAACTTTTATTTTAGGAGCACTTGGCATAAAAGTCAGATTATGCGAGATAAACATACTCTAGTAATTAAAAAGACCAATAGCACTTGTATAATAATTAAAGTGATAGTCATAACGTAAGCGACTATGACGATTCTAAGAAGAATGGGACTGATGATTTCTACACAGCCGTTCACATTTATTGTTTTGTCATTTGTCATCTCTAAGTGCATACAAGGTGTCTCAGCGCGCAAGTTGCAACAACTAAAAGGGACTCCAAGACCTCTGTAGTCTTCGTCCGAAATTCTGTTTTGTTGTGCCATTTCCTCTCGAGATGCGTAATCTACTTTCTATCAAAAATATATATTGTAAATTAAATCAAATAATAGAAATATAAAGGGTGACGAGCCAAAATTCAATATAAGTAATATGTATTAAAATATTACAATTAACATACATATAGACATCATGTAAACAAAAAACAAACGTTTCGAGCACAATATTGTGTCATCTTCAATGTTAATTGTAAATGTTGGAATTGGTCCGTTGAGGATGTTTGACGTGTTCCATGTATTACTTTTTATCTCAAGATGTCCTTCGACAGTTTTGTAATATTTCTGACATAAGTTTTTTTAAAGAAAAAATTTTTTACTGTTTTTTTTATTGTGTGACAATTATCATTATGACTATTTTTGTAAATATATGGATACACGGACCAACTAATATTTTCACGCATAGATTTGCAAATTTTTTGTTATATATTTAACTATGTACAAGATTTTCTTTTGTATTGATGTTTGTCCATAATTATGTACATCTCAACATTAAGTGTTTCATCTGAAGAG